TTCACCAAGGGCAAGTCTTGCCTGACCAACCTAGTGGCCTTCTATAATAGAGTGACTACATCAGTGGACAAGGGAATAGCTACGGATGTCATCTCTCTGGACTTCTGCAAGGCCTTTGACACGGTCCCCCACAACATCCTCCTAAATTGGAGAGATACGGGTTTGATGGATGGACTGTTTGGTGGATGAGGAATTGGTTGGATGGTCGCATCCAGAGCGTAGTGGTCAATGGCTCAATGTTCAGATGGAGATCAGTGAGAAGTGGTGTCCCTCAGGGGTCCGTATTGGGACCAGTCCTGTTTAATACCTTTATCAATGACATAGACAGTGGGATCGAGTGCACCCTCAGCAAGTTTGCAGATGACACCAAGCTGAGTGGTGCAGTTGACACGCCTGAGGGACGGGATGTCATTCAGAGGGACCTGGACAAGCTTGAGAAGTGGGCCCATGTGAACCTCATGAGGTTCAACAAGGCCAAGTGCAAGGTCCTGCGTCTTGGTCAGGGCAACCCCCCGGTATCAATACCCTGTTGGAGCGGGTCCGGAGGAGGGCCACAAAAATGATCAGAGGGATGGAACATCTCTGCTATGGAGAAAGGCTGAGAGAGTTGGGGTTGTTCAGCCTGGAGAAGAGAAGGCTCCAGGGAGACCTTATTGCAGCCTTTCAGTACTTAAAGGGGGCTTACAAAAAAGATGGCGGCCAACTTTGTAGTAGGGCCTGTTGTGATAGGATAAAGGAGGAATGGTTTTAAACTAACAGAGGGTAGATTTAGACTAGATCTAAGGAAGAAATGTTTTACGATGAGGGTGGTGAAACACTGGCACATGTTGCCCAGAGAGGTGGTCAATGCCCCATCCCTGGAAACATTGAAGGTCAGGTTGGACGGGGCTGTGAGCAACCTGATCTAGTTGAAGATGTACCTGCTCATTGCACAGGGGTTGGACTAGCTGACCTTTAAAGGTTCCTTTCCAATCCAAACTATTCTATGATTCTATAAGGGGATAAGTGTACTTTTGGACCCCTTTGTTTATCCATCTGATTTAGCACTCTCTGCTAAGAAATTTGAACTACTTTGACTGAAAGGGCTATCAAAAGTACAGAAAAGAATATGGTAATCAAAACAGAAACTATGCATGCAACTTGGTTTTACAGATTGCAGCATTATTAAGCCCTTTAAATATGTGATGCTGTCTTGCAGTAGTAAATGTAACATGGTGCAATAGTATCTTAGGAAAGAAAAGTGGTTTTAATTTAAAAAACAGCTCTTCCCTTAGACTAAGGGAGTCTGAGTAGCTGGGTAACAAGCATAATAGTTTTAACCTATATTTAATAATTCCTAGTCATTGACTATAATTGTGTTTAGGTAGTAGGACTTTGTATATGTACAAAAATGTTTATCCTACCCCTTATCATCTGTCTTGGGGACGTTGCTGTGACTGTTCAAGATCTTAGATGAAATTGTGTTTTGTGCTTTTTTTTTTTTTCCTTCCCTCCTCCCATTGTGTGCAGTGGGGCTCCCGAAAAAACCTGCTGGCAGTGAACAACATCAGCTCTGTGGTGATCCTCAGTGAGCAGGCCATGTCGTCTCATTTTCATCAGCAAGTGGCCATTGTACAGGTGTCTCCCAACCTGTTTAATGTGACCTTCTTCAGCACAGGAACCACACACAGTCTTCATGTTGATATGAATGTTAATGGAGTCTTCGCTACTAAGGTTAATTGGGATTTTTCATTTATTTGCTTGACTGTTTGCCTAGTTAGGTGTATGGAGACCAAACTTTCTAAGTCTTTAATATAACCCTTCTTTGATACTCAATTTGTGTAATGGAAGTATTGTTACGATGGTAGCAATGATGCTGTGGTGGAGCTGATTTTCAGATAGCACAGTGACTCAGTAATTCTCTGGGTGCTGACCAGAGAACTTTTGGGTTACCAAAAGCCTCCCAACTCAATATACAGAGGAACTAGTGAATGGTGGCTATTGTGTGGAACGTCTTGCTGTGTTACTGCATAAATTCCTCTATGATTCCAAAAGAAATTGAATGTATATATTCTTTTGCTTTTTTGATTGGTTTAGGATGCTGTAGTATTCTGGAACGGGAAGCAAGTTACTGTCTTTGAGTGCTCAGGAGATAACTTCAGAAGTGCAGGTAGGACTTAGAACACTGATCAGAGTTGCAATGGTTCTCTTCCTCCAAAGTTACACATTCTCTTCATTCATAATAGCTGATGGACTGTAATCGTAAATGCAAAGTGAAAAATATTATTAATACTAATTAGACTTCATATTCCCATTTTGCAGAATAGAAAGATTAGGGTATAAAAATCATCAACAAAACCAGAACTCAAATTCCAACTCCTACACCTGTGCTTTATTCACTAAATATGCTGGGATATAATGTGTGGGTTAACCTCAGAATGTGTTGGTATTCCTGTATTATGAGTAGCAGTGCAGCAACAGAGGTAAAACTGAAGGCGATGTGCATCTGTAGGCATAAAATTAAAATATATATGCTCTTAACCTCTGTTCAGCTACAACCCAATCCTGGAAGTACCTAAATACTAAATATGCTTCATTCATAGAGTTCCTAAGGCATCCAAGCGTGTGACTGGCCTTGACAAAACCAAGCATCTTGTTGCTGTTTCCCACAGGTTAGATGTATACCTGACTGTCACACCTAGACTTGAAAGGTATCCTCAGAGCTAGCATATCATATAGGGCCTTGCACAAAACATGATATGAGGGTAAGGCTGCATTTTTTATCTTTTAAGTAAATCATTCCAACAGTTGATCAAGAACAGAATTTTTTTCCTACTTTTGTAGCCATAGCTCCTATTGCCTTCTACAGATAGGTCATGATAAGGCTGTTGAAGGCTCTTCTATTTTGCTTGGGAGAAGGTGTAAACAAGGTTACATAGCACTTACATAGGAACTGGGAAGGAGTGGGTTTTAGTCCCAGCTGTCAGGAAAATCTGTTCCATAAATTGCTATATATACAGCGAAGGCAAGGAGATTCGTTTTTTCTATGATTAATTCTCCCTAAATATTTCTGCCTTGAGGAACAGGTTATGCAGAAATCCATCAATCCCATCCAAAATCTTGAAAGTTTAGGCTTTGTCTTTTTAAGAACCATCAAGTGTTTTCTGAGAAGTGGCTTATCTTTGTCTGTATTCACTCATTTATTTTATAACTTCCCCATGCTGAATCAATGCATTATTACCACCAAGGTCCCAACAGTCTACAACACTCATGAAATTACTTAAGAGTCACTCTTCTTTTCTGACAGAGGTTCTTTTATCACTCTTCAATTGTAGTTCAATGAAGGAAGGAGTGAATTCTTTTAATGGAACCTCACATTGCACTAGTCTTTTTCTTTCTTTCACTCCCCATATCAACTCTATCCCCTTCCTCTCCCACTTGTTTTCATGGGCAGAGTGTACAAAATCACCTGTTTTCAGTAGGAGCCCCAGCTTTTGGTTGTAGTGGCAGAATGGAAGAAAGCTGCAACACCAAGGAGTTTGGGAATCAGTAGAGACTGATGGATTGAAAAATGGATTTGGTGCAAGATAGTGGAAATTGAATGCTTTAAGTTAAAATTCCTTTTTTTTTTTAGTTTTAAAAAATCTGTTTATTGTAATGATGGCTTTATTGTGATTGTTCCAGGCTATTTTCTTTGTGACTCTCCAGTTCTGTCCATGCATGGAGAAAATCTGTACACAGTTGAGCCGTATCGGGTCCAGGTCCGCACTTGGCAGGTAAGGGCTGATGAAACCATGAAGCAATGAATATGCCTTATTGTTTTCAAAGACTGGTGTTACAGCTTAAAAGTTAAGTGGATGTTCTGTAAATCTATTAACTCTACCTTTGCCATAGAAAAAATATTTTGAGTATTTGAGCAGAAAGGTTTTTGACATTTTGTGTTCTTTAAAAAGTCTGTGACTTTAAACGCTACTGCACTGTAACTAATAAGTATTTGTAAAAGAAAACAGAATTCTATGAGGGCCAGACTTAAGAAGATCAAAATTGCATGCAGGTTGAATATGTATATGTATATTACTGACAGGAAAATGAACATACTGAATATTGTTATAAGATAATGAAAAATACCCCCTGCACATTCTGTGTGTTCCTGCAAAATCTTTTGCTTAACCTTTGCAGCCTCTGCTAGTCCATGAGAACCAAAAAGAGAAATCTAATTATCAGAGTTCTATGACATATAATTCTATTTAAGAAATAAATATTGTATTCAAGAATGGGTGGGATTTATCACAATAAGGTCTGATTTAATTCATGTATTTATTTTTGCAGCTGTATATTAAAGAACCTTCAGGGACCTGTATTTCTGTATCCCTCTTAGTTGGAAAAAGTTGTATTATTGAAGAGGAAATTGTTGCAGAAGGATACATCTAGATTTTGACTTTTTTAGAGGCTATACATCCAGTTTTCAACCAGAAACACAGATTGCATTTCTAGAGACCGTGTTTGTGTGTGTAGTTTCCCTCCTTCTGCTGGTAGGGATTTGTCTAACGTAGAAGTTCAGCAGTTAGTTACTTAATCTGGTGACAAAATAAGTCCCTTCTAGTTAGACTCTAAACACACAAGCCTGGTGTTACATGTTTCTTCTCAGGGCACAGTTAAACAGCTACTGGTGTTCTCTGAAGCAGAGGGGAATCCGTGCCTCTTGGATGTCTGTGGAAATTTCCTGGCTGTGGGAACTGATTTGGCTCACTTTAAAATCTTTGATCTCTCTCGCAGGTATTAATAAGCCTTTTAAAAATATCTGTTTATAATTGAGTGTATATTTTGTGGGGAGGGGGGAATCTTTAGTTAGTTTTGATCTGATGAAAAGTGATAGCCACTTTGAATCTTGAGACAATACATGCAGGCTAGGTGAACTGGTGGCCTATCCCTAAAGCAAGGGAAGAACCACAGAATTATTAGACAAATCATGGGATGAATAACAATAATAATTTTTAAAAGAGGATATTGTTAGGGATATTTGTGTATTTGAAAGTGGGTGGAGAATTTATGGAGGATCAAGAAAAGGATGTCACATGTGTCTGCTGATAACTTGACCAAAACCTTAATCTCAGAAGAGTTGACATAAAGGAAAAAAAAAATGTTAGGTCTCGTGTCTCCTCATAAATCAACAAACTTGATTCAGTGAATCCATGGAGGAAGTGAACCTAGAATTGTGGACAGTCTGTTCTTCCTCCTGTTTAGATTAAGAGAGAAGTTCACTTGACTTTGTTCAAACTTTACTATGTGTTCCTATGCTGACAAACAGCTATGGCGTGAAAAAGATATGTGCCTGACATGAGTTTCAGTTTGAAAATTTATCTGCTAATGACAAATGTAATTTTGAAAACCTGAAAAACCTCAAGAGTGAAATGGATTCTGTTCTTCCTTATATACTGTCACCAGAGGAATGCTAAAGTCTAGTTAGTTACCCACTTGGAAACTCGTTACCTGAGTTGAGATGGCACAGATTCCGCACGGGACACAATTTGAAGGTTATTGGATTTGGGCAGGTTGTAACTAGCACAAATATTGGATTATGATGTTTGATAGTGGAGAAAAAGTAGCTTAACTCCTGCATGCTATGTTAAATTTTTGTGGCTAGTCATGAAAATACCCCTTCTCAAATGATGACAGTATAGCGCTCTTTAATTTCAAAGCAAGCATAGTTGGCTTAGAATAAATGAGAGGTCTAAACATGTAACCCAAGAATGTTATTTTTACAGAATCAAAGTTTTTTTTTCGTGGGATCATATTGTGGGTCTAAATTACTGTCACTTCTTTCTGTCGCATTCTTTTGATTCATGAGATTTGTCCTCTTTGTTGCTGAATGATCGCTGGGTTTGTATCTATACCAGCAGTAAGATTCTTTTGAGATAATAAAAAAAGCAGTGTGGGAGGGGGAAGGGTGGGTGTTAAGTATGTGAATGATAGAGTCTTTTGGAACTTATGTACGGAGGGAAAGTGACCAGTAAGATGATATAAATACCACCCCCCAATGACATTTCTTTACTTCTGCTCTACAGTGTGTTTTCTATACACAGAACTTTTATATGATGGGCTATATTCAACATTCATGTTGAATTTACTTATGTAGGAAAAACAGACCTCTAAATTCAAAATTCTGGTAGGATGTTCTTGCTGTATAGCCCTGTTTTGGGAATCCTGTAGGAGCATTGAAGTTTATTCTTGCTGATTCATTGAGGAAAGACTGTCTCATTAACTTTTTCCTGAAAGAAAGGCAGGTCACAGCAATTCTCTGGAGAGGAAGCTGGAGTCTGGGGCAGTGGTGTCATAAGGTAGAAATAGTTTGTTTTTAAAAGTCTTACCCATAATTTGAAAAATGTTTTGGCTGATGTCTATTGCCAGTTGCTTGCCACCATATGATTTAAGTTTATTCCTTTCCACAGAGAGGCAAAAGTGCACTGCAATAGCAAGAATTTCTCTGAGCTGTTTCCTGGCCTTGGAGGCATTGCATCTGTCAAGTGCAATGCTAATGGCAATAAAGTCAGCATCCTTGTTAGCAAGGTGAGGCAAAGCTCTTCACTTACTGACCTAGGACCTGACAATCAGTTAATAGACTGGTGCAGTTCAAGAAGATTACTGAAGACACAAGATTCACTTCTCAGAAATAAACCTACATGTTCCATGCAGTGTATTGGGTCTTGAAATGTCATGTCCAAGCATGTAACTAAACACTAAAATTAAGGTATGTTAAGGTTTTGTACATGTGGTGAGGAGAACAACCCAGAAAAGGAAGCAATATTTCAGTTGCAAAAGCTACTTTGTAGCATTTCAGAGAAATCAAAGGCTAATTTCTAGAATAGAAAAACAGCAAGAAATTTTCTGATATTTCTTCCAGAGAATGTTCTTGAGAGATTATCAGTAAACAAATCTGAAAGCATGAATCAGATGAGATGAACATACCATCTGAACTTTACCTTTTTTTTCTTTTTGGCTGCATGCTTCAGCAACTTTTGTTTTCCCTGCTTGCAGGCGGATGGGAACATTGATTCCAAGATCTGTTTCTATGATGTTGAAATGGACAAAGTTACACTCTTTGATTTCAAGGCTGAACAGGAAAATCGTAGAGAGAAGCTTTCTTCTGGACGAGGCATTGACAAGTAAGAAGCTTTTATTTTGAGAAGTATTACGTGTGGATTTAAGATAGGAATCTGCCCTATGAAGACAAGCCACACCTTGATACTGGCATTCCTCTGTCTTTGAGTAAGAGCTTGTAGGAATTTAATTATTTTATTTCTAAAGAATTAATTTAAACTGGTGCATTGTATGTCGATCAACCTGCATCCCTGTCTCTTCCAATACGTGAACTAGGGACTGTCAAACAAAGGTATCAGAAAGCTAGCTCAAAATAAGCAGGAGGCGGCAGTTCTTCAGATAACATGCAGCTACGGAACGCCTTGCCGAAGGAAGTTATAGATGATGAAAGAAGGGTTCATGGAGGTATTGGACAAATTCATAGAAGAGAAATGCAGTGAGAATTATTAGATGTGTGGGAGCCATATCTGGCTCAAGAGGTCTCTGAGAGGAGGATGACTGGGAGTTGCGGGGGTATGAGTAGAGGAATTATATGACTGGAATCAGGATCCTGATCTTAAAATAAAGAAAAATCTTGGAAAATCTTGAAAAACTCTTCCATGAGGAGTTTACAAGGTAGGAACTGAAAAGAGGACATTCTGAAGCTCCTCCTAGGAAAAAGTTAATTTTTAAGTCCAATACAGAATGTTTTTATATGGATAAAAACTCATGAGATGTCTATTTAGAACTGACAGCTTTGTTTTCATACAAGCTGTTCTGTGGTGAATACCTTAGAAATCCTAGTAGCAAGGCAGCAAAATGCAGTGAACTAGGAATTCTCATGGAAGTACGGTGGAATGTTAGGATACAAATTCCCATCTGGTTTTACAATAATTTTTCTGACTGTATTTTTCTTAAGAAAAAAGAGCATTAGCATATAAGGTGGTTTGCTTTTTTAGCAACTATCTGCTATAGATATTACAAGCAAAAAAGGATTTACTTTCTTTATCACTGAAAAACAGGAGAAACTACCCAGTGCAAATTTGGGGCCTTATGTCTTGGTCAGTTATGCAAACAGTGTAATAATGAGTAGTGAGAAAGTTGTTTTCAAGTGTAGTGTCTTGTGTAGCCCAACAGAGGCCACCACAAACTAGTAATACTATTTCACTGATGTTTAAATGCTAGATGGTGTCGGCATGAATAATCCATTTATCTGTGCTTCATTTTAGAGTATCTTGAAATTAGAATGAGTAAACTCACCAGAGAATAATAATAATCTACACTTCTTCCCCTTCTATGTCTCTCCTCCCGAAGCAGAATCTAAACACTCCCAATTTTTTTACACAAATACTGTTTTTCAGTTTGCAACTATTCAGTGGCATGGATAGGACATTGTGTATTTCTGCGTCCCTTTGAATCTCTCCCTTAATTTGCCTTCCAGCCCTACTCCAATCTTCCTCACAAAGTCCACCCTTCAGTGGTGACAGCAGATGAAAAAAATGTTTTAATGATGTCTTTGGTTTCTCTCTTTTTTAAGATTTGACGCCTATTTATATTCTGTATTTTTTCAGAATAATCCTAAGTCATTGCTAAAATAGTCTGATTCTGTGTATCTAGAGTCTTAACATGGCCAGCACAGAAGTGGTATTTAAATGCCCAAAGGAGGCAGTAAAATGTTTCTTACTTAAACTGGTGCCAGAGAGTGGCTTTCCTAAGGCTGCAGGGGTTGTCCTTGTGCTTAATGTGCTATTGCACAGTGCCTTGGAATAATTCATACACAGTGTAAAGTTCAAGCACAGTACTGAGGAAAGGGTATGAACTGTGGCATGTCTAGAGACTGAAGTCCCCCAGCTGCAGGTCAGGTTCAGCTGCAACCCTAGAGTTTCCCTCAGGACTGAGAAGTTCAGCAGTTCTCAAAGCATCGATCACACTGCATGCCCAGGTCTCTCTGCTGGACTCTCAGTAGAGAGAGATCTGTTGCCTGAGAATATAAACTAATTTCTTTTTTTTTTTCCCCATCAGTTTAATCACAATTGTCTAGTTTTGATCTCTTATGACCGCTGCTTAGCTGGATTTGAACACAAGGTATATGTATTAGAAACTCTCTCTGTACTGCTTATCTAAATGTACTTCAGTGTACTCAAGCTATCTTTAACCTGGCTGGGCATTTCTAGCAGTGCTGGCAATAAGCGTCTTGGGTCAGGTTGTAAAACCCACAAGAAGGCAGAGCTGAGGTAATCCACATGTTGTAGTACCTACACCGGTAGCAGTTGGTAAGGTAGATCATTTGAAGCATGTTCAAGTATTTCTGTAGGACATGTAATCTCAGTGGAGACAGATTTTGGGTGCCTATTTGTATTTGTGGCAGTACCAGCTTTTTTTCTACTGAAATGCTTTATGTCCTATAGTCATGGTTAATGTATACAGAACAAATGAAAAGTGGCATTGCCATGTGTAAAGTGTTAGGAGGTAGGAAGATGTATATGGTTAATGTTACAATGCAGAGGTGCTGGTACAGATAACTGATCATCATCTGAAAATTATCCCTTGGTTAGTCCTTTATTTACATTCATGCACTGAATGGGCTGGAATTATTTTGTCTCCCTTTCTAAATGTTTTCTTGTCTTTTGGTAGGTTTGTTGTGGAGTATCCAGAGTTGCACAGTCACATCCCTGCTTGCCATTTCTGGGACCAGAGTGAACCAAGAGTTTTTGTATGTGAAGCAATTCTTGAAACAGGCCTACAATCTCCAGACCAGAAGAAAAACCAGACTGAGAGCACAGTATGGTCTTTTTGTTTGTTTGTTTTACCTTGCTTTATATGGAGTTCTCCCTGTCCAAGTAATAAATCATTGGTCCTTCATTAAGGATGTGGGAGTAGGTAGTACACATTATCTTGTACAAAAATGAGTAGTGAAACTACCTGTTTGGTGTCTGTTGCTTCAGGCAGTCACTGTATGTTAGCTTTCTGCTTTAGCCCTAGCTTGTATACAGTGATGAAGAAAAAGAGGTGATTTCTTTATCTATGCTAAAATTTTGAGGATGATCATAATGCAAGCTTGTATCTGGACTACAGTTTTTCAGGTGACGATGAAGAAAAAGAGGTGATTTCTTTATCTGTGCTAGAATTTTGAGGATGATCATAATGCAAGCTTTTATCTGGACTACAGTTTTTCAGGTGATGTTATTGGGTGAATTGATAATCTAGAGGTTTGATACTTATTCTCATTTTTAAAAAAATAATGCAGATTTTATATCTTGAGTCCACTTTTAGCAGCAAGAATTAATTTGATAGAGTAACAGGGACCCTACCGTTAAGGTGAACAGTGAAGTAGACTCTTCCCACCCAGTTCTTACCATCTTCTGCTTTTCTGGATAGACATTGTACATCTTTATGGTACTTCCCAAATTATCTTGTACGGTCTTTTTTACATTAGAAAAAAGATTTCCTCTTTATTAGTCAGAAATTATCTAATCAAAGATTTCTTTCATCAGACCAACAATTCTTCCCCACTTACCCTGCTAGTGTGCTTGTAGCAGTCCTTACCATTTTGTCTTTACAGAACTGTCCTTCATAAATATTCCATTGATTTGAAATGTCCATGTTGATTTAAAGTTT